CCTAAACCCGAACACCCGAGGATCCAGAAGCCTGCAAAGCTCACAAGCGTGAACAGTGGCTGGCGGGCGATTTGGACCCAGCAGCCCAGCTCCAACAGCAGAAGTTCCACGTGCGGGGTTTCATTCAAACCTGGGCAGTTGCATGGACAGCGCATGACCTGAAAGAAGCCCCTGAGCCCTGCAAGAAGCTCAGAAATAGTGATGACAAGCATGGCCCAAATCCTACAAGGCTTGCCAAAATGCCCATGAGCCCTGGGCCGAATCTTCTGTGAGGTGAGGGCTATCTCTTTTTGTGTTTTTTTCTGTCTGCTTATTATGACTTTTCGCTTGGAGCTGCCGTTAAGCCGGCCGATGGCTGCTTCAACGACCCCCACGCCCTGCCTTGTTGTAAGCCGTGCATGTTTGCTTCAAAGAACTGAAGGCACAAAAGCAGAGCCAAATCTGTAACTTGGGATGTTCCCCCTTATACCAAAAGTCCTTAATCGGGATTATCGTACCCCTGATTAGAATCCCAACTAAGGACTGTTAGTCGAAGGGGGAACATCCCAATTCTGTAACTGTACTTAGACAGCCTTTCAAGCTGTCACGATGCCTGGCTGAGGGCTCTAATGTAGCTCCACTTCATTTTGGGTTACTTACTAGGATGCCCAGTAGTACCCTTATTCCCTTTTTGGGGGGTTTAGGTTCCCTCATAAACCCCTTTAAGCAAAAAAGAGCACCCTTTTTAAGCCTTGGTTACTGGGCAGCCTAGCTTACAGGGGGTTCTAGTATACTACCCCAAAAAGGTACTGCATGGAAGCCTTTCGGTGGCAATACTGCAAGTTGCGTGTCCTGAGCATAAACGCTTCTTTACAGCACTTGGAGCTGTGAAGCGCAAGTGAAAGGAGGAAGCATCAAAGGCTACGGTTCGCAGCTGCCACGCCCCTATGCGGGGTTTAGGGTTTAGGGTATAGGGTTTTGGGTTTAGGGTTTAGGATATAGGGCTTAGGGTTTAGGGTTTAGGGCTTAGGGTTTAGGGTTTAGGGCTAAACCCGAAACCCTTGTAAAACCCTCACCTGTGCGGAGTATGGCATGTAGGACTTCCGGTAGGAGTACGAGTCGGAACACTACAGCCAAGCTCCAAAGTAGCTTGCTGGGGTTCGGGGTTAGGGTTAGGGTTTAGGGTTTAGGGTTTAGGGTTCAGGTTTTAGGGTTTGGGGTTTAGGGTGTAGGGTTTAGGGTTGACGGTTTAGAGTCTGGAAATCGGACACTGCCTGTATCAACCTTACCCAGCTCGAAGCTCTGAATCCTAAACCCCAAACCCCAAACCCCAAACCCTAAACCCTAAACCCTAAACCCTAAACCCGAACACCCCGAACGCCTTCCTTCAAGTGGCCGAGGTCGGCAGTTGCCTCTTCGAGGACCTCCTTGCGCAATGCGATTATTCACTGATTCATGGAGGCGCGATTCTCATGGGACTGATTCAGGGTTTAGGGTTTAGTGTTTAGGGTTTATAGGGTTTAGGGTTGGTAGGTACCAAACAACAATACATACAGGGCTTCTTGGGGAGGTCTCTGGGCCTTATGGCCTTTAATAAACGGGCAAAGGCGCCTTTGTGATTTCTGCACCTGTGTCTAAGGTTTATACGGTTTTTTAAGGTTCAAGGCTGCTCCAGGTAAGCCATTCTTGCCGTGCTTAAGGGGGTCTCTGTCACGAACGCTGGGCCCTGAACCCTAAACCCTGAACCTTAAGAAAAGCCTTCAACTTAGCCTGAAAGCTGTTAAACCCTAAACCCCAAACCGCAAACCCCAAACCACAAACCCCAAACCCCAAACCCCAAACCCCAAACCCCAAACCCCAAACCCCAAACCCCAAACCCCAAACCCCAAACCCCAAACCCCAAACCCCAAACCCTACCCTAAACCCTAAACCCTACCCTCAACCCGAAACCCCAAACCCTAAACCCTAAACCCTAAACCCCAAACCCCAAACCCTAAACCCTAAACTCATACATGATGATGCAGGCCATGGCATCTCGGAGTGTGGCACCTGCACCCACATGAAGCACTCTGCAAAGGTGACTGTGCTACCTCATCAGGGTTTAGGGTTTAGGGTTAGGGGCACAATGGTCCCAAACGGTCCGAAATCCCGCCTAAACGCCTCTAAACCTAGAAGGGCGCCTGTTCATAGCTAGGTTCCTGCGCAAGCCAAGTTGTTGCAAATGTCCCGGTAGGTTGCCAGTAAGTAATAAGAGTGAGGCGAGTACATGACACCCTTAACTCTATGAAACCTAAACTTGAAACCATTCTGAAACCCGAAACCCAAAGCTGCAAGCAACTGAAGCAACGCAAAGCCCTGAGCTTCAATCCCTAAACCCTACACCCTAAACCCTAAACCCTAAACCCTAATTCCTAAACCCTAAACCCTAAACCCTAAACCCTAAACCCCCTTAAGCGCCAGGTAGGGATTTCACTGCCGGGGGAAAGGGGGGGGGATGTGGCTTGCTTGCTCCGTCCCAAACTTTCCTAAGGACAACCACGCAGCAAGACACGAAGGCACCACTAGGGTTGGGTTTAGCTAAGCCCTGAAACCTAACCCTAAAGACCCCAAACTCTATACCGGGGCTTCAGAGCCCAAAAGACTCCGAATGTCTCAGCAAGGATGCAACCCAGACTAGGCCCTCCTTCCCTCCTTCCTTTTTTTTTTTTTTTTGGGGGGGGGGGGGGGGGGGCGGGGGGGGGGGCGGGGGGGGGGGGCGGGGGGGGGGGCGGGGGGGGGGGGCGGGGGGGGGGGGCGGGGGGGGGGGCGGGGGGGGGGGGGGGGGGGGCGGGGGGGGGGGGGGGGGGGGGGGCGGGGGGGGGGGGCGGGGGGGGGGGGCGGGGGGGGGGGGCGGGGGGGGGGGGGCTTAGATTCCCTTTCCAACCCCTTTAGACCACAAGGGGTACCCCCCTTCACTCCTTGGTTACTCTTATATCCCCTCTACCATTATACCCTTTAAGGGATTACATATACATATATATATATATATTTATATTATACCCTTTGAGGGAATCTGCAAAAAGCATATTAGACCCTTTAAGGGATTATGTAGGGTACCCTCATTTGGTTTGGATGAACTCCGACCGAGGTAGTGCCACTCTCCAAGCTGAAGCGCCCGTTGCCCGAAAGCTTCTCTCCAGGCGGATGGGGTCGAAACCCTAAGCCCTAAACCCTGAGCCCTGAACCCAGAACCCTGAACCCTAAACCCTAGCAACTGCAAGGTGCACCTCCACCCAACACCCCCCAAAACCCGAAAGACCCAGGCGTACATAAATGGGTATGGGTATTTCCCAAAATGGGGGATTTAGGGTTTAGGGTTTAGATCACTTCAATAGGGGTATACAAGGGCTCCCAGATAACGAAGACCGGAAGCCTTTCTTCGTAAGTCTGAACATTCAGGGTCTACCTGAAGGTTTTAATGTAGTTCCTTTTGTGGTTAGTTATAGGGGATTTCAGTATACTACCCCAAAATTTACTACGTAGGAGCCTTTGCTGCTATTAATCGCTTAAGAAGCCCCAACAATTGCGAATAGCAATACCTATGTTGCCCTGATAAGGAAGAATCTATTGGTGTTTCTTGGGTGGTTCTTAAGCAAACGCTGGTTTAGGTACCTGGAGGTTCATGGTACTTAGCAACCACTTATAACTGTACTTACACCTGTACTTGTAAACCACAGTAGGGCACTTAAGGGGCTTACTTGTGGGTCATAAGTACAGTTATCATTGGTTAACAAGGACGATGAACCTCCAAGTAGGGCTTGTGGAGAGGGAAGAGTGCTTTCGTGCCTTGATCAAAAATGTCCTTTTGATGCCAATGCAAGGGGTGGGGGAGGTTGTGTGTCGGGCTTAAGGTTTAGGATTTAAGGTTTAGGGTTTAGGGTTTAGGATTTAGGGTTTAGGGTTTAGGGTTTAGGGTTTAGGATTTAGGGTTTAGGGTTTAGGGTCAAGCAATAAACCAAAACTGAGGTACCACAGTACCGAGAGCCAGCAATCGAGAACACCGAAATGCCAGGCTATGCTAGGATGCCCAGTAGTACCCTTATTCCCTTTTTTTGGTAGGTTTAGGTTCCCTTATAAACCCCTTTAAGCAAAAAAGGGCACCCTTTTTCATCCTAGGTTACTGGGCAACTTAGTATGTGAAGCGAAGCGATACCGCAAAGCTGACAGCCGACCCATGCCCCTGAAGGGAACTCTCACCACCGCCTCAACCCTGAACTCCTACATCCCAAACCCCAAACCCGAAACCCTGAACCCTGAACCGTAAACCCTAAACCCTAAACCCTAAACCCTAAACCTAAACCCCAAACCCTAAACTCTCAGCCCGAGGGTTCCCTTTTGAGACGTCCCTGTCTCAGGGTCCCTACTGTCGGTCAGCTGCGGCGCGCGCTTTGCTGGTCTGAACCGCTTTGGCAACGAGCCGCCTCTTGGCCTCCGAGCCCTGCTAAACCCTAACCTGGGTTTAGGGTTTAGGGTTTAGGTTTTAGGGTTTAGGGTTTAGGGTTTAGGGTTTAGGGTTTAGGTTTAGGGTTTAGGGTTTAGGGTTGAGGGTTTAGGGTTTGGGGCTGACAGTTCAGGATGTTGCTCGGAGGTTCATGCGTAGTTAGATGTGGGGTTTCTAGAAAGGTAACTAGGTCTTTTTTGTACGTACAGCCCTCCTCAGAAGTACCCACATGAACCTTCAAGTAGCCCTAACCCTAAATCCTAAACCCTAAAAAGGCACCTAGAGCCCTACTCATGACAACTCACATGAACCTTCAAGTAGCCCTAACCCTAAATCCCGAACCTAAAGAGGCACCTGTATCCCTACTCAGAACTACCCACGTCACATGAACCTTCAAGTAGGGTTTAGGGTTTAGGTTTTAGGGTTTAGGGTTTAGGGTTTAGGTTTAGGGTCCCGGTAGACCCAAACCCGGTTTAGCCTAAACCCTAAACACTGAACCCCTCAACCCGGAGCGCGACCCAGGCTGCCAAAGCAGCAGATC